CCGAAGGCCTGAGACGACGAAAAACAAAAACTCTTTTTTTGGGGAAACACAAGAAGAGAAAGAGAAATTAAAGAGAAACTGAGGCGAAAAACGAGAGCTAATCACAAAAAAGTGATCCAAAAACAGCAATCCGGCCAGACCTCTCGAAGAAAGGTCTGCTCAACGCGGCGGTAAGGAAAGAACTGGCGGGATGTCCTTGCCTGCCCTTCTGGGCATGGTCACTAGGCAGATCCAGCGCAGGCGCACTAGATCCCCATTGGTGTGAAGCACAGAGACCACGAAGAAGATCATGTGGGTACGTTTTACCATATGTGGTGGACATGTGATATAGTGCGTAAGTTTTGGATTATGGTACATACTTCTATACAGACCGTTTTGCAGATTTCAATATCTTTTCAAACAGAATTGTTTTTACCGAATTGTATACCAGATGACTTTGATTTAAAAAAAGATATTTTATAATTCATGTAGTAACTGCAGCGAGAGTTATATTTGCATCCTACTGAAAATTTCCATCAATACCTTCTGAACACGACCTAATAGCAAGTGGACAAACTGACCTCGATGTTAAAAGGGCAAACGGAAGAAGACTTCGTTGGACTATGGACACCATTTTATAATTGGATAAATAAAGATATGAACTTCCTAATATCATAATATCAAGAAGCTTTTGTGAACTTTTCAAACCTTACAGTCTATCTTTGTATAATATGAAATGATAAGTAGAAGAAAGTTATATGCAGAAGACTTATTGCTTTTGTTTCTTTCTCCTGCCCCTCCCCTTTTCCCTTCCCCATCTTTGTGTACTCTGAAATTTAATACAATTTATTCAAAGAAAAAGGAAAGAAAAAGAAAGAACAGGATCCAGCAAGAGCCAAACTAAGGAAATGCTCCTGGAGTCAGTGGAGACGTACCATAAGGAGCTCTTCCACCAGGCCTTCGATTAGGAGCCACCACTGATGAATGCGTTATTAAAAACTGAATTGTTATGGCCCTCATGCTACTGGCACTAAGAGCAACCATGGATACTGTCCTAGCTACACCGCACCATCATACAGCAACTGCCATCTGCACTTAACTGCACTTTGTATGTATATTGCTTGCTTATGTGAATTTGATAGTATTGCATTTATGCATTCGTGTTATATTGTATTTTAATCTGTTGTACGCCGCCTTGAGCCTGCCTGTGCAGGAAAGGCAGGATATAAATCTATAACAACAACAACATACATCATATCCCCTGCCAAAGAACGCTGCAATTACCTTAAACTTCCTCATTGACTGATAGAGTCTTCCAAGGTTACCGTAGTGTTTCGCTGTCTGCACGTTGAACTCCCCGAATGCTTTTTTAGCGAGCTGGAGGGAGGACAGGTGTAAATCGTGGGCTTCTTGGAGCAACCGCTGCTCCGTTTCCTTGTTGTGACAGTCGATGGCAATCTCTTCTAAGATCAGCGCTTGCATGCGGAAGAAAAGGAGAGTCACGTCAACAGGCTCAACTTGCTGAAAAGCCCCAAGTTAAACAGGAAACCCAGGCACCAAAGACATCCCTGAAGTGTCCTTTTGCTCAACCCTTACCTTCTGTAGTCCCTGTTGTTAGACCAACTAAACCATTGGAAAGAGAGTGTGTACACACATACAAACCCTTCAGCTCACAGACAGACAACTGTGTCATCCAGTCAGGGGTCGTTTCGTAGAAAAAGAGCTAGGGGAACTCATTAGCATAACTCATTAGCATATGCCACACACCCTGGCATCACCGGAAGTGTGTCATAAGGCCACACCCCCTGACATCACCAGAAGTGTGTCATAAGGCCACACACCCCGCCCCCAACGGTCCTGGCTGCCGCCGCCGGCCTTGCAGCTCCACTGCCGAGCCCCATGAGGGGCCCGGCGGTGGACCTGCCAGGCCGGCGGGAGTGCAAGGAAGCCCCACGAAGGCCCTCCCTGGCCCCAAGCAGGCAGGGGTGGGGAGAGGCAGGGAGGAAGCAACTTACCCTCCCGTACCTCACCCGGGGGAACTGCGATCCCCCGCGATCCCCCCCGAAATGACCTCTGCATCCAGTCCACAACTGAATACTCTGGTAGGAAGTAGTTCTCTGAAGTCTCAGACTGTTCTGCTAGCCAAAATCTTTTTAGCTGGAGATGCAGCAGATTGGAACTGAGACCATCTGCCTACAACTAAGTGCTGTTATCTCTGAGCTCTCCCACTTTCCCAAAGGCTTCTCTGCATTGCAAATATCTCTCCTTCCCCACAAAAGTGTGTGTATGGGGGGCAAGCTGTGGTCTCAATCCAGTGCACTGGGGAGGGAAACATCACAGAAAAGAATGGGAATGACTCTTGACAATCACACGGGGCTGCATCTAGACTAGATTTCCCATTAACTGAATGGAACTTTCCTGTCTCTCCCCTCCCCCTGCAGCCCACTGATCTCCAAGAAATGTTGCTTGGGGGGGAGGCAGTGGGAAGGGGGAAATCAGTGGACATTGCCAGTTTATTTCTGGATCCCGTCCAGGGTGCTGGGACAGACAGTGAAATGCTGTGACTATCTGCATCTTAAAGGGTACAGGGAATGGTCTCAGAAAACAATCTTTGGGGGAAGATCCTGGAGGGTGTTGTTGTTTTGCCATCTTCTGGGCAGGGAGCAAGGATCATGGGCAATGCTCCCTCTAAGCTGTAGAGTCTTTTTTAAACAATTTTTATTGCTTTTCACTATAAACTACAAACTAAACACTACAAATTCAGAGTAGCAAGGTATATTAATAACCTATCTTGCACTTTGGATGTTTCCATACAAATTTATGTTTACAATGTATCATTTAATTTCTGAGTAATAAGTATTCAAATAGAAAGTACAAAAATTTCTTGGTTATTGTATCACATATGGACAATAATATAAATTCTTTAAATTTTAACATAGAAAAATCCTATATCTTCATTTGGATGCCTTTGGATGCAGCTCCCAGGTCAGAATCAAAGTTAGAGTCAAAGATTTCACCCAGGGACATCGAAGTAGAAGAGGAGCTGTCAGTAGCTGACGTCTGATGTTCGCTGTTATTTTCTGTTGCCTTCTCATTCTCTGCTTCCTTTCTTTGTTTTGTCAGAGTTTGATGCTGCTTCAGGAATGATTCTGCCTTAGAGAATCTTTTCCTTCTTCTCTTTATAGTTAAACTAGAAATAATGCCCGTTGTGGAAATAAATACAACGGGATCTAGAAAGAGGCTCTGGGAGAGTGCTCTGGCTTTGGGCAAACAGTGTCAGTTTCCTGTGGCGACCTCAGCAGGGTTTAATGACAGAGTCCACTGTTTTCTCCAGAGGGACTGATCTCTGCTACCTGAAGAGCATTTGTATGTTTGAGTTATCTGTAGCCCTCACCTGGAGAGTGGTAACCATTGTTACCCATTCTCCTCTCCCCTATGAGGTATGTTATGCAACTGAAAATCCCAACTGCCTTGCGGGGGGGGAGTTTGAGGTGTGGAATGGACTGAAGTCCAATCAGCTTCCATATGCAAAAGACCAGGTTGTCGCAGCAGTTGTGGTGTGGGCGGGACCCGGGCTTTGCCTTCTGATTGGTGGCGATACATGCTGAGGAGCAGTGCCATCAGCCATACACTAAGGGAGTGCATTTTAGAATTAGAACTTTGGCACCCACTATTCAATTATATATAAGGAGAGATATAAGACATTCTGGTAAAATCCATCAGTACTGGACATTGTTCTTTTGAAGAAATGTTGTGATGTTTCTGTATTGCTTCCTCTTCTGTATTTCAAACGGAACTTCTTTCAGTATTTTTATCTCTTCCTCTTGAATTTTTAATGCTGTGGCAGTAGAAGCTTTAAGTATCAAGTTTCTTGTTGATCTTATTGCGAATTTAACAAATATTTCCCCTGGAAGATTACTTTTTTTCACAAACTCTGAGTAGGTTCTATAGATCATGTAAATATCCGCTTGCAATATTTCAGGTTTGCTGTTGATCAAGGGGGCTAATGTAACATTTAAACATTGTTGGTGGGACTGCCCTTTCATTACTAAATTTTGGATTAAAATATTAGGGCATATTGAAAAAATTCTAAAAATTAAGGTACCATGTACTCCCGAATTTAAATTATTGGCCAGATATTAAAAAACCTGGAAACAAAATGGATCTCCTACTAATTTTCCTCATTGCAGCAAAAACTTTAATTGCACAAAACTGGAAATAAAATAAAAAATCCAAGTGTAAGGCAGTGGTACATGAAGGTATGGGACTTGGCAGTCACAGACAAACTAGCATCCCAGATGGTAGCAGCTGATCAGATTAAGACATCAACTGAATATATGAAAAGATGGTTTTCTTTCTTTGAATTTGTTACTAATTCTACGAATAAGATGTGTTTAGTACTTAGGAAATATCTAAAGTTTGTATTTTATTGAGAGTACAATATTGTTTATACTCAGGAGATGTAAAATGTAAAGGATGTTGTAAAGCAAAAATTTTACGGTTTGTAGTTTAATATATTTGATGGTTTGTATTATTATATAAATGTTGTTGATAACAAAATAAAAAAATTAAGTTAAAAAAAAGGGGGGCCAATGCTTCACTTAAGATTTCTCTTAAATTTTCATCTTTTCTTTCTGGTACCCCTTGGAATCTTAAAACAAATAGGGATCTTTCCACTTGTAGTTGTAGTAATTGTTGTTTTTCAGAAGCTCTTTCTTTATCTGAATGTCCATTCTTTGATCCATTTCTTTGGTCTTAGTTTCAACCTTTTTTAGCTTTTGGGCCATCTTATCTGATTTAACTTTGGTCTCCTTCAGCTCTTTCTGCAAATCATCAAATGTATTATTGAGATTCATCAGCTGATCCAGCAGGGGGCATAAGGCTTCAGAAATCGTACCAGCTAAATCAATGGTAGTTTCCGGTCTTGTGACTGGTGATGGCATTTCCTGTGGCGCCTCTGCCTCTGGATGCCATTTCCCCCCCTCGCTGCGACATTGTTTACATTAAGGTAAAAGTTTTTAAAAGTTCTAAGATTTTTCTCTGCAATGAATATCAGGTCCTGCTGTGATCCGCTTGAACTGGGTGGGTTTCTAACAGCTTAGTATCGGCTTGCTTCCCGTTTAGCTTCTTTTTACGCTGTAGGGTAGGGTTCTTTCTCTATGGAGCTTTGCCGTCTCACTGTCAGTTCCTCCACCCTCTTGCATTTGTCTTTCTTTTGAAACTTCTTCACTCACTTTTTTAAATCACTGGGTGTCTTCCCGTAGTAGGGAAAGTCCTTTTTGCTTAGGTCCTTGAACGCTCTGGTCCAGTAACGTCTCTGGTCGCCGTTGCTGGCCTCGGGGCAGCAGGATCTTGAGGAGCAAAAAAGTGCCCCAAACCCCAAGCTGCGACTTCGGTAGCGGCTCCTTCAGCGCTCCAGGCTAGAATCTCCCTACAAGAGCTTCAGGGGGGGATCGAAAGCGTCTGAACCCCCTCCCTGCCGCCTTGATCCGAATCGCATCCATGGGAGCTTGAAGGAGTGTGTTGGTCCATGAGTTGCTGAAACCGGAAGTCTAAGCTGTAAAGTCTTGTGAGCAAACATTCAACTTTGTGAGTTACTGACATTAAAGTTGTGGGCGAGCAATTTGGCTACTGCATAAACTATCCTTCCTGAGCTAAGACAAAAATGTGTGAGCCGGAGGCTAAAAAACTGCGAGCTAGCTCACACTAACTCAGCTTAGAGTGAACACTGGTCATGGGGGTGGGGGGGAGATATTTGTGAACTTCCTGCATTGCACAGGGGGTTGGACTAGATTACCTTGGAGGTCCCTTCCAATTCTATGATTCTAATAGCATAGCACTGTTGAAACAAAGAAGGCAGGGACAGGGTAGTCTGGAAGGGAGTAATTCTGAGCTTTCTAAAGTATGAGCAGGATATGATAAAAAAATAAGTGGGGGTGTGGGGAAGAGAGCAAACATACTGGAAGACACAGTGCCAAACATTATTGCTTATGGTAGGACCTTCCTTTAGCTGATTTCCCAAGATGCCTTTGTGGCTGTACACACCGATAGCTGAAAGATGTCTATTGAAATGTGAGATTAAATGGAAGCCACACAGCAGTAGGCTTGAGGCCACATGACTATCTGTTAACTACATTTTCTCCAATAAGAAAGAGAAAACGCAAAGCTGTGTATAGATGCTAAAGTAAACAATTATTCATGAATTGTGTCCAAATAGTGTAATATATGACAATAGCAATGCATTATGAATCAATCGAAGGTACAAAGTATTATATAACAATAAAGTCTGAAACAAAGGTCCAAAACAACAGTTTGACGAAATTTCCGGATAAAGTATTCGTTTCGTGAGTCGTTTTGTGAGAATAGGACCGATGTATAACTTCAAACTGCAAGTATAATTTTTAACATTTGTAGAGGCTGTTAACAAATCAACAATCTTCAGAGGAAAAAATTCTTATGAAAGTCTGCAGAGCATATCAAAGTACTAAGGTCAAGCCATGGTGTTCACCGTATTTCAAATACAAGTAAGGATGTAGCATAATCATTTCCTCATGAGCTCCCGGCCCTCCAGATTTTCTACAGCAGCAACAGTCGTTCTCACTCCCCCAAGCACAGGAACTAAAATCAGCTTGCAAATACCTTTAACTCTCTTGGAAGAGGCCAGAAGAAGATGATCTTCAGGAAGAATGTGAGTTATGATGCCAATGGCGCGCTCTGCGTGGAATCTAAAAGCAGGGTAACAGAAGACAAGGGGGGAAAATAAGATCCCTTTTTGCGCATATGCACACGCACGCGCGCAAACACATATAGGAAGGTCAATTTCAAATCATGTATTTGAAGGACTGACACCCCAGCATCATCTCATCATGCCTGCACTTGGGTGGCAGGCAACTAGGGACAGGACTTTTGCAGTGTTAGCACCTCATCCTTTGAATGCCCTCCCTCTTGAAGCTCACTGAGGACCTAATCCTGCTGGCGTTTAGATGGCAAATCAAAACATTTCTCTTTACTCAGGCTTTTAATTAATGTTTTATCCCATCTCTTTAAGCTGGCTATTTTTTGGCCTGTATCCTCCTGGAGTACTGTTTTTTAATAATCCCTGCTATTTTATGATTTTTAAAACAACTTCCAGAACACCCCTTTATTAATTTTACACCCCTTTATTAATTTTACCCCAACTTTCCTCATTGTTCAAAATGACTTACAATAACAGCTTAAACCCATTGCCTGATCCTGCTAACTGAAGATGCCAGGGATCGAACCTGGGACCTTCTGCATGCAAAGCAGAGGCTCTTCCACTGAGCCGCAGCCCCTCTCCATAATCAGACTTTAAGAGGACCCCCCACCATTAGGCTTTAAAAAAATAATTATGGAGGAGGACAGGTCTACCTAACTGTAACCAAACAGATCAGTCACATGAATTTGCCTTGTTCTGATTCAGACCCTTGGTCCATCAAGGTCAGTATTGCCTACTCAGACTGGAAGTGGCTCTCCAGGGTCTTAGGTAGAAGAGGTCTTTCCCATCACCTCCTGCCCGGTCTTTTTAAGTGGAGATGCCAGGGATTGAACCTGGGACCTTCTGCATGCAAAGCTCTTCCACTGAGCCACAGCCCCTCCCCTCTACCTGACCCTGGAGAAACAGGGAAGGGCCATCATCCTCATGATAAATATCTGGCTGGCTTCCACTGGAAGTAGAACTCTGGACTATCTGGACTTCAATCTGATTAATCAAAACAGTTTTTAATATTTAAAGACAAGCTTTCAAGGGGCAGATAGCTTGTCATTCCAGCACCCTAAACTATACTACGCCGTTGGCAATTTTAAAGGAAAGGGCACAACCTGGTCAACAGCTGTGGGATGCAGGAAGAATTTTCAGTGGTCAGGGGGAGCCACCCCTTTCTGCAGACACTCCTCTCCCACCGGACAGGGTCTGCTATTGACCACTTCTGCCTTCCTCCTGAAACCATACAAGCTCCACCCCGTCAACACAGTCTTCACTATGCAATTGGGACAAGCATAGCAAGCACAGCACCTGTGCCCACAGGCACATACTATCCAGCAACATTTCCGTGGTTTCATTTGCATAATTTATTCTGCTGGCAAAGGACAGAAAGGTTCCAGGCGGTCCCAGGTGTATAACTTTTGGTTTTGGATTTGCAGTAAACAACCATCTCCACTGACGGAGTTCACCTCTGCCAATTCAGATCACAAAGGGCCAATTCAAAGAAAAGGCATTGGGGCACAAGCCTCTCTGGGTGTTACCAATTCAGAATATGGAGTAGGGAGTAGGGAATTTACAACCTGGATGCTCCCCACCCCTCCACCTCCTAGCAAGAACTCCCGGCATACTGGAAAAGGTAGCACATGAGAGAGAAAGGTTTCAATCTAGCCTGGTCCCTAAGGTGCTAGCTTTTTTACATGCAGGGAGCTTTAGACACAAAGGATCATTTAAAAATGCAATCCCCGGAACTTGGATTCAGTCCTCTATGAAGGCATGATGCTGCCTCACTGCAAGTCAGACCATTACGATTTATCTAGTTTATAATATAAGTTAATATTATAAGGTTCATCTGGTCCATATTCTTTCAAGGCACTCAGGCTCCCTATTTCCCCATTGTATGCTCACAACAACCACCCTGCGAGGTTGGTTAGGCTGAGAGAGAACGACCGGACAGTCTTCGTCTAACCCCCACACCACGTTGCCTCTCCAGAAAAACAGTCAGAACCACCATCGGTCTGTTACATTTTTATTCTGCCCTTTCACCAATGAGCCCCCCCCATCTCCAGTTATTCCTGAAAGCCACTCTGTGAGGTAGGTTAAGCTGAGAGAGGAGAACTGGCTCAAAGTCAACCAGCAAAGTTCATGGGTAGAGACGAATTCGAAGCCAGCTGCCCCCCGCCCCTCCCAACCCTAGTCTAACACTCAAACCACTCCACCAGATTACCGAATAGGGCCGCTGGTCTACCCAGCTCAGCACTGCCTGATTCTGACTAGCAGTGGCTCTCCACGGTCTCTCACACACAGATCCTTCCCAGTGCTTGAGACCCTTTAACCAGAGATGTCAGGAAGGGGACCCGGGACTGCCCACATGCAACTGCTCTACCCCCGAGACACGGCTCCTCTTCCCAGAAGCACAGCATGTACAGATATACTTGGATTAATGACAGAACTTTGGTCTGAAGGGAATGCAATACTCACAGCGCATTGTCAAACTTGCCCGAACTGTACTGGTGAACATAAGAAGAGTACGCCAGATCTTCATGAGCGGTAGCGACGTGGATGTTTTTGCCGCCAAACACTGACTGTCTGATGTCTAGCGCCGTCTGAAAGGATTTGTGCAAAAGAACTCTGGTCTGTTATGCTGTCCACGTTTCAGACACCTCCACAGCAAATTTTAAAGAATCGTTCAGCTTGAACTGACATTCAAAATTCCTCTTTGTCTGGGGCAGATTTACCATGAAGCAGACGAAGCACGTGCTTAGGGCACCGGGGCCAAAGGGGGCACCACAAAGTTGGGAAAAGGGTGAAAAGCTTAGTTTGTACGGTATATTGTGTTATCATATGAATAAATTTTTGTACTGCTGCAACCTGCATTGTATATCCGGTCAGACAGGTCAACAACTAAAATGGACTGGGTCAGTATGGAAAGGGGGGGGGCACCAAGATTGGTCGAGGCTTAGGGCACCAGTGAGCCTTAATCCGCCCCTGCTCTTTGTATACAGGCATCACTGCAAGGGCCTGAGAACAATGTTGACACCTGCTAAAATGCCGTATGGCCAGAGCTACACAACAGGTCTATGCATGCAGACCGAAGCTTGCTGTAATGTTCTGTTATCTTTAAACCCAAGGGAACGTTAAGAATATTGTGGCTCCCTACACCCACATTCTGAAGGGCACCACGGTCCATTCAGTCTTCCCACCATTCCCCATCTCATTCGCTTTCATATGCAAACCAAAGCCATTCGTTTAGCTCATTGTGCAGCCAAGCCCTCTCAGGTGCATGTGGTGCTGGGGGTACTGAATTTTTATATGCTTCTCCCCCACTAACAAAAACCAAACTGCATCAACAGCACTCCTTCGCTGCAAGCAGAAAGACGACACATCAGGATAAAGGCTCTCCTCCATCCTTTCTTGCTGCTAATTTCCTATTTGCAGGGATATGGGTCCCGTCCCCCCCTTAATGTGGGAGTGCATTAAAAATGTGGTCCTCCACATGCCCTCTGAAGCAGTACAAGCAATTCTGCTGCCTCAAGAGGCAAAATGTGTAACTCTTGATAGGGAGTCAGAGAGTAGTTTAAGAAGTGGGATTCACAAGCCATTCATTTCAAACAGATTGTTTATAACTGCAAGGCTGGATTTCATGACTGCTGCAAGCCAACTTTTGTAAAAATATGCATTTAGTTTTAAAAAAAATTGCCTCCCTAAAGATGTAGAGGGCACTGAAAATAGCGACATTTTACTTCCATTGTCGGCTTGAGAGGTCCCTGCCTCACTCGCAAGCCAGGAATTCCAAGTTTTAACAGGAAAGGCAAAACCAACAGACAGGATTCAAAAGGGTTAACAAAGGCACAGGCAGGTACTGTACCTGGTAAATCGCAACTGACTGGCATATGTTGTCTACGTTGAGTAAATAAAACCCATAGTCTAGTAGTGTGTCTGAATATTTTGGGTGCTTGGCTCCAAAATGCTCCCTGAAAGGCAAAAATAAAATGCAAGTTAGAAAGCAGACAGCGAGCGACAAGACCAATTTTCAAAACAGCTCTCGATACTTACCGAGCTAGGTGCACGGCGTGTTTTATCAACTGTTCGGCTTTCTTAAATTCGCGTTTCACAACGCAAGCCTGAATCAACAGGAAATGAAGGCATGAGTGACAGGCGATGAATATTCAAAGCATTCCTGTACACTGACCTACTAGCACCCATGCTTCCCAAACTGCCACGGCCTCTTACTACAGAACTGGCACCACTTTCCCCCAGGAATGTTGGATGGGAGGAACAAAATAATAAGAAAATAATCAAAGGTTGACAACAGCCAGCTGCTTTTGGGGGGAGGGGAGTGTAATTTCCTTCTTCTAAAGCAGTAAAAGCACTGTGTAATTTGGCAAGCACAAAACAAAATTGCAAAAAATACCGGAGAATGAATTATCTGAGGCTGTAACACATACAAGCTAAGAAGTTATTGAAGTATAGGTGCCATCTACCTGGTTGGGGGTTCTGACGGGACAAGGCCAGAAAAAACACACATAAACCACACTGAAGGAAGAGTGAACATAAGAGAAGCCATGTTGGATCAGGCCAGTGGCCCGTCCAATCCAATGCTCTGTGTCACACAGTGGCCAAAGCCCAGGTGCCATTTGGAGGTCCACCAGCAGCAACAGAACTCCAGAAGCCCTCCTGCTGTCCCCCAAGCACGAAGAATAGAGAGCATCACTGCCCCAGACATAGTTTTCCATCTATACCTTGTGGCTAATGGCCACTCACGGACCTCTGCCCAATATGTTTATCCAGTCCCCTCTTGAAGCTGTCTATAAGAACAAGAGTGGGATATAAGACTGAAAAGAGCAAGGTTACAGCTTAAAAGCAGAAATGGAACTCTGTTCCCACACAGAGAGCACAGCAAATTGGCAGAACGGACAATACCACCCTCAGCTTGCACTGGATGATCACATTTTTGGATTACTCCCTGAGTTAAAGCCTCCTTGACTTGCAAACACACCAACTTCTGAGTTATTCTGGAGGATATTTTTCTGTTCATATTAATATTTTACTAACATTAATCTTACTTTTATTACCATTAAACTTCAATGCCACATCTTTTTACGCATTTGATACTTTAACACTAACATCTTACCAGCATTATCCTATTTTACTCTCTTGCCTTGTGTAGACTTCAATAAAAACATTTTAACTTTACTTGTAAGTACAACCACAATTAAAGCCACAAACTCCTTGAAACAGAAAATCAGCACAGCAGGCAAACAGCCAAGGTAGTTTTTTTTCTTCCTGCGATGTTTGTTTTCTACTCGATAGAGAGGCTTTAAAAATAATGGACATACAGTCGGAACAGGAATCCCCTGCCTACACTACCCCTTAATTTGCTATGTGGGTAGACTTGGCCTTGTTCAGATGTCTACAGAACACACAAACACAGGCTGGGATCTAAAGAGCTACTTCAGGGATTCTGGCCATACTGCAGTGGAATTTTTGAGTCTGCTACTGAACAGTAGATCCCTGTGACATGTCAGACAGCTCTGAAAGTCCCTCTGTTTGAAAGACAACTTGCTTATGAGGCCACAATGGCGTGGGGTTTTTTTGAACCCAGCCTGAGCATTAGGTATGGTACAGAGCTGTATCCCCACAGTCAGCTATGGCCCCAAGCAGCTATTCTAGGGCACCGTTATAAGGCAAACATGGGATATGCTCAGGCAGGCTGCAAACATCTCACCTATCCCAGCATGCAAGGATTTTGTGGCTGTTTTCTCAGCTCCGTATGAGGCCTGGTTCCTGAATATCGCATGCGGACCCTGAGAAGTGTGAAACCATCTCCAGCCCCACTCAGCTGTATGTTGGCTGTTGACAGCAAAGTAAAACCCACCTTTGAAGCTTGCCGTAAAACATCCACTACAACTTTTACTGGCAAGCCGACGGTGATCTCTTTCATGGCTTCTATACACCACTTGTAAGCCTGTGGAGCAGCAGCAACAACAAAAGGTAGAGAGAACACAGAGTTAGCCCAAATAGCAGCCTTCCTTCAACATTAAAACATCTCCAGGTTTGACATGGCCTGATTTTGTGAGCACTAATGGCAACATAATGGGGACACCTTGCGATTAAAAGAGGGAGACGGAAGTAAGGGGACACACACACCCCAAACCAGAGTTTACAATTCTTCCTCTCTCTGGTACAGACTGAGACACACACACCCCCAACACAGATCTTATGAGGCTGTACAGGTGAGCAGTTCAGCAGCAGCTGTCTTGCTGTCCTACCGCTTATCAGTCAAACTCTGGCCAGTAGGCCAAAGACCGCTCTTGCCCCGTAATCCAGATATTTACAGAAGCTTGGGACAGGCCCCTAGAATGTGGCTTTCAAACTTTGTACCTCGAGGAGTCACTGCTCCAACCTCTCCATCCAGACAGCCTGTCAAACAGCAAGAGGCTGAAGGCGAGATATCTTGAACAGAGCAACAGGTTGCCCAGGGGCAAGAGGTGTTGGGTAAGCGGGAGCCCTGCAGGAGTTACAGGAGCTTGTCTGGAGAGGCTAGTTCTTCCAAACGACCTGAGCCTGACAACAGGCCAACTGAAGGTTCACCCTGCAGCCTCCAAGGCTAGCAGAGGCTTGAGCCCAGCCTGAAAAGCTGATTTTATTTGGCACCGGCTTTCTGAGTTACCATTTGTTGCCAAGCAGAAAGTCTCAACAAAGCACGCTTGTGTCTGTACATGCGCCACTGCAGAGTCAACCTCCAATAACATTTGCCTAAGGGAAAAACTTGCACACATGCAGAGAAATGTTGGGATTGGATGCCTTGCAGTCGGACACAAGATACTCACCTCGTCATAATGGCTCTTTGCAAACAGCAGAGCACACAGCTCACCATACAGGGCTGCTTTGTTGGCTTGCTGGCCGTGCTTTGCTAGTTTGTCCATGTAAGACTGGGCTAATTTGAACGTCTCTTCTCCCAAATGGTATTTACAATTGCCGTTTCGAACATGCAGCAACCTGGGAAAACCAAACGAGGAGCTTGAAACCTCAGTGCCATTATATACACAGTGCCTCTCAGCCTAGAAAAATGCTAATTCTAGCACACAATCTTACATCCTAGAGGGAAAAAGGCACTGCCCAGGGACATCTCACCCCTGTCTTAAACAATGGTGTCCCAAGCAATTTTTTAAAACGCACGGCAGCACAGCAGATATTCCAAGCTCTGAATACCCAATGCAGTTTAAGAGTGCTTGCTGCAATTATCTATCTGATTTATTCCTTACAATAACCACTGCAGTGCTATCAGCATATAAACCAGTCACTGCTGGAGTTTCTTTCTAAAGGATTTGTTCTTTTGAAATGCATCTCTAGCACACAGACCCATCTATAAACTATAGGCACTGAAAGCAACAACCTATCCAGTGCCTTAGGCAGAGTGGGGGAGGGCAAAATCATCCTAATTTTCTCCTCATACCTACACAAGGCAACACCCAAGTTGTATCACAAGCATTCTGGGGTAGTTGCTCATGCATTAAGAGGTTTGACAGAGCATCTGTTTGCTCCACAGCAACAGGAGAAACCTCTTCCCATGCTCAGCTGTCAGAGGCAGCAATAGGAAAAAGTTCTTGATGTTTGCGTAGAGTTTGCATCTATTTTGCAAGGTGAGCTGTTTCTCATCCAAAATTCAATGCCTTTAAACATCAACTAAAGGATATTCTATTTAAGTAACAATTAAAAAAAAAAGTAGCCCGGGGAAAGGTATGTAAAGTTTTGTAAAACTTTAAATGGAGCCCCTGGGAGCAGGTTTTATAAGGAGGCTTGGGAGGGCTCCCAACAACAACCTGGCACTGAAGGGGCTGCTAACATATTAAATTACGTAAGCAGAAAAGGGAATAGCTTTTTTCAAGTCACCGTTTAACAATGAAAAAAAGACACACGTCTCCGCCAGTCGGTGTGGCAGAAGGAACAGTGGGAAACCAGCAGCAGAGGACAAAGTCAGCACGATCCAGAAGAGTCAATAACAAGCAAGCGGAGGAAAGCCACGGAAGCAACTAGGGCGGCTCTCTACCCAGACAACGTCACCAGACTATACAGCAATGGCAAAACTGGGGGTGGGGTGGGGGTTTACAACCACCACATCTCAGTCCCTGAACCCTCCATCTCTTTCAGCCTCTTCCTGCCTTGAGACATAATATTGGATTAAGTACAGAAAGAAAGGCAGTATTTGGACACCCGAGAACACTGGCATATTTCTGATTTGCAAGACATCAGGACTCTGCCCAACAAACAGTCCCACCTCCACAGTCAGTAACCCCCCACTCTTAAGCACACACCTCTCGTCTCTGGGTTGGCGACTGCAGGGATTGGCTGGTACCCCCCAAGGAGGCCAAATTCAGCCCAGTGGCCTCCACCGTCCCTTGAACCCTACCATATTTAGTAAGAGCCATTTTTAAGAACAGTACTGCTGTGCACAAATAGATCATGATAACTAGAGATGGGCCCACTTTTGGGACAGGCAATTAGCAGCTTATGGACTAAAATCTAGTACTCGGGTGTGCCCCTAACCCAGAGGACACCATTTATGTTCAGCGCCCTGGCAGCCTTCTCTCATGCAAGCCAAGCCACAGGCAGACGGGTATTTACAATACTTTCTAACAGCACCAGAGGCTCTGTACATCAGACAATCAGGATCCAGAAGGCAAAGGAGGGAAGAACTCTGCCAACGATTCTCACAGGGTGATGTGTGCCTATGCATCAAAGAGCCCTTTGGGTGTGTCTTGAGGTGAGCGTACAAACTGTATAATAGAGGAAGGGCTGTCAAAGCCTCTACAGTCGTTCATGCTGGCAAGAAAGGAGTGAAGAGGATTAAGAAGCCCTCTGCCTGCAAGTCAACCCACTTGAGAATGAGGGCTAATGTTGCCAGTTTTTCAGTCTTTAGCGCAAAATACAGCCCTCGTTGAAAGCTATGTCCTGACCAGGGGCCAACGAGGTCCACATTTGGCTGTTTCTAATGAACAATTAGATTCGAGCCCAGTAGCATCTCAGAGATAAACAAAACTTTTGGGGCACACACTTTCGATCGTCAAAGCTCCCTTCGTCAGCTGTTCTACCGCAGACCAACACGGCTACCCTCTGCAACTAATGAACAAAGTGATTCTTAAAGGGACTCCCCAACAGCTTCCATCGAGAATGGACCAAATTCCTCATCATTAATAGCATATCAGTCTCTCCTTGAGAACACTCTTAGGGACTGGTGGACGGGATTAGGCCTAAGCAAACTATGTAGGACACCACTGCAAAGAACCACACAGCTTCACTAGCTTAGACTGTCAAAATTTGGCAATTCATCCACACAATGTTTGCAACATGTGTTTGCCATGGAGTGGGGAGAATCACACCACCTGTAACAAGGAAGAGCTTACCTCACACAACACTCCACTGCACGAAACCAGTGGATCATTTCGTCATGAAGGGTACATAGCTGAAGGCAGGAAAGGAAGACCTTCTCGGCATCACTATACCAGCCAGCATCCGAGAGGAACCCTCCTGGAAAGATAAACATTAACAGGAACATCAGGACACCCACCTGGAGACAGAAAGGACTGTGTTTTAAACATACCTTTCCTTTTTGCTCCCCCGACATTCTTTGCGTAACCCAATTCTGGGCTGCAAGCTGGAATCTGTCCTTCAAAAAGTGTCAGTGCTAACTGAAAAGGACAACTGAACCTGCAATTCTGTGAGTAAGTTGGTGCAGAAAACCATAAAAGGATAATTCTGTAAGTTGGTGCAGAAAACCATAAAAGGACTGGAGCGTGGAACGGGATCTGAGCCTCTGAGGGGGTGTCTGGCAGCCTGCGCACTGCCGCCATCCCTGGATAAGGGAGGAAAGCTACAGGATAAGGGAGGAAAACTACAGGCAGAATGGTAAGGGAGCACCATACGAGTAAATACACACTTTGGAATTTCCAAGCTGAAATGGAAGAACCACATGAGCTGCCCCAAGGTCCTCGGACGAAGGCAGGATAAAAACGCAATAGATTCCAAAGGCTTCTGGCATGCTGTCCCAAATTAACATACTGGCGAATGTATTTGCAAGATATCAACTGTGGTAAAATACATGAGTCAGGATCCAAAATGCTGCTTGATGAGTAGACAGAGACGTATATATGCCGAGTGGGATTTTCTCAGTACCCTCCCCAAATTCCACAGCAGCTTGGCAGAGGCAGTGTGGTACAACAGGCAGAGTACTGGAATCCATGTGGTGAGATGTTAGTCTGAATCTCCACTCTACCATAAAGCTCACCAAATTGCTTTAAGGTCACATATACATTTACAGCCTTAACCTACCTCATCAGGTTTCTGCAAGGAAGCCAGGGTAAAGTAATAATGGGGTAGCAGAGTAACTAAGACTAAATTTATGCTCATCCCCTCTTCAGACGACTGAAATTGGGAGGTTTTAACCACCTTCAGTTGGGTGGTTAAGTGTGCGGACTCTAATCTTGGAGAACCGGGTTTGATTTCCCACTCCTCCACTTGCACCTGGCTGGATGACCTTGGGCAAGCCAGAGTTCTGATAAGCCAGTTTGGTGTCGTGGTTAAGTGCGCGGACTCTAATCTGGGAGAACCGGGTTTGAGTCCCCACTCCTCCACTTGCCCCTGGCTGGATGACCTTGGGCAAGCCGTAGTTCTGATAAGAGCTGTTCTTGAAAAGGAGCAGTTTCTGTCAAGAGCTCTCTCAGCCCCACCTACCTCACAGGGTGTCTGTTGTGGGGAGGGGAAAGGAAAGGAGTTTGTAAGCCGCTCTGAGACACCTTTGGGTAGTGAAGGGCGGGGTATAAATCCAATCTCTTCTTCTCTTCTTCTAACAATCCTGCCCCCCCCCCATAGTTACCTAACACAAATCCAATCTGGATAGCCTTTTCCTTCACAGCCGCATCTGATTCAGCTATGTAAGAGCACCGCCGGCTGAACGAATAGGCCAACACTGAGGCCACCTTCACTCCATGATCCATCAGTGCTTGAAAACAGTGATGAAGTAGATGTCTGGAAAGGCAGAAAAGGAGATTATAATATGTGACTCTCCCCTCACCAGTTTCTTAATTAAGTAACAGATACTGAAATATCAAACTGATTAAACTGAAATATACAGAGTATCCAGAATATAACAGATTATATGTCCAGAATATAAAAGGCTGAAAAATATCATTCTGGTGAACCATTGTGGAGCAGATATATTTTCCCTTCTCTCATCCTTTTTGCTGTTAGCTCTTGGGGAAATTAAGAGTCCAGGAGCTTTTCCTAGGAATCCCTTCCCCACCTGACTCGACAAGGCGAGGGGAGGGGGTGCTTTGAAACTGGAAGGAACCCCATAGTTTGAGAGAGGCGAAAAAAACCTTTTCCAAAGTATCTGATTTATTAAAAGAAAACCATACTGCACAAATTTTCAAGCAAGTGGCAATTTCAGTATTCAACTTACAGAACAGAAAAGACAAACCTATATTTATAAACAAATAGTCACTTATTATTCATTTAGGAATTATTATCTATTTAGGAATGCATTCCGGCTGCTCTGGCAAGAGCTAACCACGATGTTGGCAGAGGGCCCTTAGCATCTCAAACACTCGTGTTAAATAACTTCAGAAGCCAGATTAACTGTCAATCAAGAAATCGGACGGTCCTGATGAAGCCCAGTCCCTTCCCTTTTCTGACCAGAAGACTCTGACCAGGGTCACTGTATTGGTAGGTTAAAAAACAACCTCTCTGTCAAGGCAGGAGCTTGGAGCTACAGGTCCTCGTATCTAGATGTTTTGGCTTCCAGGCTGGAACTCAGAAATGTAAAGCAGTTCTTTTTTAGAGCATTGTCAGGCTGAAGAGCCTCCTGCAAAGCCTTATGGGAGAGAACCAACCGAGAGGCCCAAGCCACTGCAGGCCGCTGTACAGAATGGCCCTGTCTTGCTTATAATTCTGCCACAGTAACAGAGAGCCCGAAACAAAGGTGAGGTGCTAGCAGTTTCCATCTTTCTCCCTCACAGAGCAGCTGCATTTTATATTGCAGAAAGGATGCAAGTAAGGAAGATGTTTGCAAAAACTCAAAGGCTGCCTTTGGCTGTTTTGAAAGCAGGAAGCAATCTGCTCTGAATCCCAACCCAGATGGATGCATCAAGCCATATGAAATACACTAACTTCACAGGCCTAGCAGCACTTTAATTAAAACGTGTGCGAGGGCAGGAGAGAGGGGCGCATGTGCACATTTACACAGAGCTGTGAGAAGCAGGTAGCAAGAGGGGGGGGCTGAAATGAAACTGCCTCTCCCCACTGCCCCCAAGCCCAGACACGCTTCCAGCTGTGATGCTCTGGAAAACAAAAGGCCCCACACAGTCTGGCTTAGTTATTAAACATGCAGCTTCCATCAATTCCTCTCCCCTCCCCCTCCCCCACTCCAGCCCGATGAAAACCTGGGAAAGAGGCAGAGGTGAGGTTTCAGACTTTCACTTGGGGCTGGGCTTTAGAGAGGTAAGGACAAAGCAAAATCCACCAGATTCACAGCCACGTCCCAAAGACAGGGTGCACCTACATGCAGAATCCAGTAATCCTAAGAAGCTTCGAGCACTGAACTTGATCACTATGGGTCAGTCAGCCAGATACAAGAACAAAAACCGTGTAACCCATTTCATTAGGACCAATCAGTTCCAAAACAAAACATGGGTCCATTTGGTTAGTCTCAATAAAAGATATTAGACAGATTTTGTTCTCGTTCTGGATTTTGTGTGGACCAATGTGGCTGTTTACAACTCTTTTTCCAGGCGAATTGTTTGTTTGTGATATCCATACAGGTAAACTCTGCAATCCAACAACACAACCTATAGCTCCGCAAGAGGCCAAGGAGCAAACTGACGACATAAATCCAAATTACGTGTGTACAAGAGAACACTAGACCCGTAGAGTAACTATCTGAATCCTGCCAACTGACAGACACAAAAACAAAATGCTTCCTATCGAAAACTAGATGCAGAGGAGAAGAGTCCCAGCACATCCTTCTCTGCAACGTGCCAGTTTCCTACGCACAGGGAAAATCTCTTGTTGTATGGAGGAACAGTCAGCCGTGTGAGTCACCACACAGGGAAAATCTCTTGTTGAGTGAGTCACCACCAGTGTTCCCTCTAAGCTGAGTTAGTGTGAGCTAGCTCACAGTGTTTTAGCCTCTGGCTCACACATTTTTGTCTTAGCTCAGGAAGGATGGCTCCAGAGCAAACTGGTTTATGCAGCAGCCAAATTGCTCGCTCATAACTTTAATGCCAGGAGCTCACAAGGTAGAATTTTTGCTCACAAGACTCCACAGCTTAGCGGGAACATTGGTCACCACATGGAGGAACAGTCAGCCGTGTGAGTCACCACATGCAGTCTGTGCTATCCCAGGTACAGGATTAATACCACACTGAAAATTGGGCCTTACTTTCTTTCAGTAGGTGAGATGCAAGGTTATAACTGATAATAGAAAGCACATCGGGAAAGGAGCACTGAAACTCTCCCTTTTCCTCAGGTGCTTAACACATGCCAGAGGAATCTGAGTGGGAGGGGGGCCGGTATCTCACTTCCTAAAAGACCTGTGAAAATCTGGAGGGGAACGGGAAAAATTCAGAGGGCCCAAGGACATTTTGGGAAGCACTACAAAAACTATTAAATATTTCTGTTTTGTGAGCGGAATGCTTTTTAGGATGAAGTTTTAGTCAACCCAAAAGTGAAATATCTATCAAGACTTTAACGAAAGAATCCACAGCATTAGATAACTGTAATCCCTGTGTACACTGTAAACATACATAATATGTTCAATAATATATTTACTTTTTAAAGGTGACTCGTGCTGTTCACAATTAAAAACCTATAATGCATCATGTGGATAAGTTACTGAAGAGTTTGGAGTTATCTATGTTATATAGTATCCAAAGATGCTACTAGCCTAATGATGGCTGTATGAGACATGTCCAAGCAGTATACTTCCTTTTGTTCACTAGAAACTTTTGTGTTTTTGATTTACAACTTGTAATTTTTACTGCTTCTATCAGATGCCAAAAACAAAAATAATAGAATCACAGAATCATAGAGTTCGAAGGGGCCATACAGGCCATCTAGCCCAGCCCCCTGATCAATGCAGGATCAGCCTAGACTGCAGGGTTGTCGTACTTACATTTTAACACCCACGCCCTCCTAATGTGGGGCTCCAATGGAACAGAAGAAGTGCTGAAGAGGACAACCAAACTTATTATCTCAAACCACCCTGTAAAAAAACCTGAGAACCGGGAGAGCCACTCCCACTCTGAGTGTGGGGGAGGGGAGAAGAAGCTTGCAATGCTCAGCCACTTCATGTTTTCTCCTGGGTCCTAGGCTCAGAGCATTTATATTTTTAGGTTATATTTTTAGTTTCTGCTGTGATCCTTGTACTTCTTTCTTTTTTTTAATACTATTTTTTTCAAAAAAACCCAAAATATTTCTCTAAGTACAAAACATTATAAAATTGACATGAGTCTTTTTATAACAATAACATTGAACAACAACGTGTTGGTAACAACCTGTTAAAGCACAACTGCAAAATAGACTTTTAACAATATAACAACAGTGATTGATGTACTAAATATAAGAAAAACAGGTTGCTTACCAGTAACTGGTGATCTTCGAGTGGTCATCTGTGCATTCACACCCATGGGATCTAGTGTGCATGCGCTGGATCGATCGGTGCTGTAGCAAGCTCTTTTAACAGATTTTCACGCCCAGCCCCTCGGGCATGCGCAGGACCCCCACTGTGCATGCCCAGAGGGGTGGGTGCGGACATCCCGCCAGTTCCTTCAAACCGCCACAAATCAACCCCTATTAAAAATGTAGAACCTGACAGCAGCGGGAAAGAAGGGCAGGTGGTGTGAATGCACAGATGACCACTCGAAGATCACCAGTTACTGGCAAGCAACCTGCTTATCTTCGACGTGGTCTCTGTGCTTCACACCCATGGGAGATTAGTGAGCAGCAGCCTACCTGGAGGAGGGTGCTGGCAGGTCTTTTACTGTGTAGCCGAAGACAGAATGTGACGTCCCATGTTGGTATTGGTGTTTGTACGGACGTCTAGGGCGTAGTGCCTGATGAAGGTGTTAGGTGTGGCCCAGGTAGCGACTTTGCAAATGTCCGTTATTGGCACTCCTTGGAGGAAGGCAGTGGAAGTCGTGACAGCCCTGGTAGAGTGAGCCCTGATAGGGCCAGGTAATGGCTGTTTGGCGAGTAGGTAACATAGATGGATTAGACCTACAATCCACTTTGACAGGCACTGGGCCGTGATACGAGTACCCAGACGTGCCGGAGCGTACGAGATGAAAAGTTGTGAGTTCCGTCTAGTTGGGTGTGTTCTATTGAGATAGACCAGGAGAGCCCGCTTCACGTCCAAGGTGTGTAATAATCTGTCCTCCGCTGATGATGGATTTGGAAAGAAGTCAGGGAGGAAGACCTCCACCTGCAGGTGGAACTCTGACACCACCTTCGGCAGGAAGGAGATGTCCGGGACGAGGCCGACTCCATCTGGCAGAAACGACAGGTAAGGTGTATCGTGTCAGAAAGCCAATATTTCTCCAACTCACCTTGCCGATGTGATAGCAATTAAAAAGGCCGTTTCCCATGCGAGGAGTTTGAGGTCACATGTAGCAAGCGGCTCAAAGGGCTTCCTCGTGAGCTGGCGTTGAACTAGAGGAAGGTCCCAGGGAGCGACTGGAGTTTTGACAGGAGAGTAGAGGTGTAACAAACCTTTTAAAAATTGTTTGGAAATCGGATGAGAAAACAAAGTGCATCCATCAAGTAGAACATGGTAGGCCGAGAGAGCGGCCAAATAAACTCTTAACAATGAATGGGAAAGTCCTGAGTTAGCTAAGGAGAGGAGGAATCGGAAAACTCTTTCGAGACCCACTGAGGTGGCTCGAGGGCTGTCATCACTTAGGGAAGAACAGAACCTTCGCCATTTATAATTGTAAGACCTCCGCGTAGTAGGCTTCCTGGAATTCAAGAGGACA